TGCCCAGCAAAGTGGGAACGAGAAACCTGTTTCCTTGATGCTCAGCCCAGGGCCCTTCAGGGCTTCATTATGTGAATATGTGTGTACCTTTCACATTGTAAACTGGACTTCTTATTGAGGATCTTGGTTTAAATACTGAATAAATCCACAGTCTCAGGAAATCCTGGTGAAGGATTATGTGATTTCTGTCCCTGATTCCCTAGAAATGCTTTTCAGGGAAGTGAGAGTGGGGCTGAGGTGGTTACTGCCCTCAGCTGCTCCCCCACCCACCTGCCCCCTTCCCTGTGGAATGTCTTGCTCAATCCTTTCCCTTGAAACCACTCAGAATTGCAACAGGCTCACAGATGTTCCTTGAAAATGTCCTGGGCAACTAGAGGAATGGGGAGAGATGAGGCGGGAGCTGGAATCCCCCCTCCCTACACTTGCATGGCCTTCGGTTCCCAGCCAGCCTCCTGACCTCAGTGGTCAACGGCAGATGGAGGGCAGGGACCCTGCCCAAGGTCACATGTCTGGGTGAGGTGGCTTCGGAGTTCGACTGCACAGTGTAGGAATTTTGGAGCCTGGATCCAAACTGTCTACTGCCCTGCATCGTCAGAGGGGAAATCCACCCAGAGCAGGGGAAAGAGGCTGGGGCAGCATTCGTTCATGCAGGTATTCACAGATATGTATGTAGTGTCCACTGGGTCCCGGCTGGTGTTCTAGGCACTGGAAACCCTGGTAAAGAAAGGCAAGGGGCCAGGCACACTGGCTCACTCCTGTAATCCTAGCACTTTGGGAGGCTGAGGCAGGAGGGTCACTTGAGGCCAGGAGTTCAAGACCAGCCTGAGCAACACAGCGTGACCCCCATCTCTACAAAAACTTAAAAAAAAAAAAAAAAAAAGGAGATTGAAACAAACAAAAAAAAGGGAGACACATTTTTCTCAGGATCTCTTGAGACCATATGTTCTGGGCATGTCACACATATTTGGCTCAGAATAAACCTCTTTAAATTATTTTACAGAGATTTTTCTGGTAACATAAAAAATTATAATATTTTGGCCGGGCGCGGTGACTCACGCCTGTAATCCTAGCACCCTGGGAGGCCGAGGCGGGTGGATCG